TGGACGTGATGTTGTGTGATGTGAAGTGTGAGGCTCCATGGAATATGCTGTCTGCAGATGATATTGTGCTGTGTGAACTTTTCCAAACCAAGGCTGAGAAGAAACTGAAAGATTGGAGGAAAGTTTTGGAAGAAAGGGGCATGAAGATTAGCAGAACTAAAACAGCTTATATGACTCTGAATGGTAGAGACGAGTGTAATATTTAAATCCAAAATGTGCTGCTCCCTTTGGTTCCGAGTTTTAAATATCTTGGGACATTTGTCGAGATAGGAGGAGGATTGAACTCTGAGGTGCAGCATAGAATTCAATGTGGATGGATGAACTGGAAGAAGCTGAGCAGTGTGTTATGTGATAAGAAAGTTAGCTGCAATCTGAAAGGAAAATTGTATAAATCAGTTGTTAGACCTGCAATATTATATGAAGCAGAGACATGGACAATAACAAGAGCCCAAGAAAGAAAGATGGAGGTGGTGGAAATGAGAATGTTGAGATTGATGTGTGGAGTGTCAAGGAAGGATAGGATAAGGAATGATTTTATTAGAGGTTCTTTAAGATGGGCCCCTTGAGCAAAAAGATGTAAGAATGCAGAACATAGAGTGAAGAAGCAACAATTATGTTGAAAGAAGATCGGAAAACTGGTAATAAAAGGAAAGAGGAAAAGAGGAAGACTAAAGATGCATTGGAAAGAAAAGGTGGAAGAAGATTTGAACCAGAGGTTGACTTCAGAGAGAATAAGCCCTTGATAGGGAGAAATGGAAGAAATGTATTAGAAAAGGAAACACTGACCCTATATAATGGGAAAAGGCAAGGATGAAGAAAAGATTAAAATTTAAAATAAAATTTGATCTGAACCTCTACTTTTCATGTTTTGTTTCTATTCAACTTCATATCTAGTTAAAGTTTAAAATTTTAAACGTGGCTTCTGATACTGATGCCATATAAACTTTATTTCATTGATTAAATGGTAAAAAGATTCATACATTTGCTCTCCTTGTTTTTAGCATTAAATACCAATTCTCTAAAAGTAGTAGCCTATAATTCCTAGCCTATAAAGCTATAATTCCAGGATCCTGGGGATAAAGACATTTTATCCCATAAACCCGGGATTGACAAAATGACTCAAAACGATAATCCATGATGTTTAGTTAGCACATAAGATGTATTTCAGCAAAATCACAAAGGTTTTGACATAAGCTCACCCATTCAGTCCAAGAATTTCATAATTCTATGATAAGATTAGTGGTGAATATGAAAATGAAAGTAATTCTTAAGCTAGAGTTAAAAGTTTCAAATATTTATATGATTCTTGATTTGAAACGATGTTGGAGAACAAGGCTGTAAGAAATTAGATGTAATGAAATAGAGAAATTTGAAAGACTTGGTACCGTTTATATTTCTCGAAAGTAAATCCCTTACTGAAATGTTTCATTTACATCCGATTCAGATTTTTGTGACTCTTTTGTAGCTGGATACTTCTTTTTAAAAGTATATCTATTTTATTGAGAATTTTTTTTATTTATGACATTTAATTGTAATACTGTTTTTAATTATTTTCTCTGAATTATATAAAAAAAAATCGAATCCTTCTTCTGTAACTGAGTTTGAGTTTTCTGATGAAAATATTTCTAATATTAATTTAGCAAGCCAAGTAATTTTGCATTAATTTCTTGTTCTGTCCTTTTACAAACACACCAAAACCAATGTTTATATTTGGTTTGTGCTTGTAAAAAGAAGTTTGGAATTTCAGTTTGTAAACAATCTCTTTTTAAATGTTTTCAAATACTACTGTTTCTCGTTCTTTGATTTATATATATATATATATATATTTATTTGTGATTTTTTTCCTCCCCTTCAGAACATCACAAATACGAAATGTTTAATTTCTGTAATATATCGTAAAAATTCTGTAAAATATTTCTTCTATAAAAAGTCATTTACTAGTATTTATTGCATCGGAAAATACTATTAGAATATTTTCCAATGGACAAGTGCGCTACACCTAGATGACACGAAGCTAAAGTGATTGTTTCTGACAAAGAACTTGCCAGTAAGAACCGCCGAAAAATTGATCATAGTTACCTCGAAAATCTTGTGAATGTACGAACGAGGAACAGTGACCTGACTGGGTCTGGTTTCTCTCGTCTAGGATAAACACATCATAAAACTTTGATTAAAAATCTCGAGTTACATTTAAAAATTAATAGAGATTTTTAAGATGTCTTATTTACTTTTTACTTTTAATTTTTATTTACACTCGCTAAAATCAAAATGAAAAGGATTGCGTGGATATTGAAAGTTCAAAGATAATTGCTGTATAGATTATACTGGTNTTTTAAGTTGTTTTTAACGTATTTTTCGTCCTAAACTACACACCCATTTATCCAAAAGAATTTTTTTTTAGTAGCGAATATTATATTGATCAGTCGATGTGTTATGTCCTTTCGGAATATTTTATATGCTTATATTTTTTAATTTTAGCGGCATTGAAATACGCTGTTTTTTTATTTTTGGTAAATTTTTAAAAATTAAAAATAATTTATTTTTTTTCCAGTTTGATTATATTAAAATCATTAATAAGATATGAAATTAATTTAAAAAATATGTATTCGTGATATAGAATAAAGTCCCGTTTTTATCTGTCTGCAGATAACATAATTGACCGGTTTTGCTCTTAATAATTACTACTTCCGCAACATTTTCTCCGTCTAAAGCTGCCCCTTAAATGATATTAAGTTAGTTATTTTAAATGATTATTCTACGTTAATGAATGATTTATATCGTTATATATATAAAAATGTTTTTTCCTTTCAATTCTTATAATAAAAGTAAGGGTTAAAATTGGGTTGTTTTCTTATTGTGGTCGTCTTTGTGTATCATCCCACGCCAAGACGGGTTATGTGATGGAAATTCTGCATTGAACTCTTGTGAGGTCGAGTGACGTGTCGGAAATAATTCCCAGGAAGTGAATGATTTGCTATTCTTTGACTCATCATCTGAGTGATATCGCCACGATTTTCGAGGTAGGAAGTACGTGGAAGCGATGTAAGCGTTTAAAATGGATGCCGAAGATGATGATCTCAAAAAATCAAGTTACTCACTCAAGAACGATTTCTAGTAGATGAATTGAAGTGTACCGAACAAATATAAACTAGATATATTTATTATGATAACATATCTTGTGTTAATATAATTTTCCAACATTTATATCAAATAATATTTGAAAACAGTCATGCGATTTTTATCGTTTAGTGTAATATATATATATATATACATACTGTATATGGAAGTTACATATTAGCATGTACTGTACTGTATGTAACCTTGATTGACGTTAATGCTTCCTCGGTCTAATTTGATATGGTCGGTCTAGTGTTTTCTTAAATTTAGTTGTAACTTCAATATTGGAATTAACTATCAAGGTCTTGCGTTTATATGAAATGCGTTTTCATGATGTACAGTACATGATAATTATTCCTACTGTGTTTTAAAGCCCATATTTGCCAACGTTCTAATAATAGCTAATAATAAAATTGAAGTTTGTTAATAGTGCATCGAAATTTTTACAGTTAATTGAAGGTTTGTAAATGGGTTTATTATGAGTAAAACTCCGTATGACCTGGTTAACGGAAACTTTTAAGAAATATTGATTCACAGCCTGTTCAGTTATCTACCCACGTTGACCTGGTTTCAGTTTGAGAAATTTCGTTTTATTATATTATATTTTTCAGTAACTTTTATTGTCATATTTATATTAGAGAGACGCTTATATAATTTAAGATAAGATCCTTCATCGATTTAACTGTTGCTGCGTGATAAGTAAAATTTAATCCTGGAAACTTTAATTATATAATTTCGAATCATGACATTTACGAAATTTTAGCAATTTAATTTCAGAATTTGAATAAACCGAAAATATTATTATAAATTTATGGAGATAATTTTTTCTGTTCGTGTTAACTTTTTTTTGCTTCGTTCATTAAAGTATGAAATTATATCGTAAAGATCGAAGTTTGTCCAACCGCATCCATTATCTCATTGCGATGACAAACTGTTGCCAGACGAGCAGGTTTGATGGTGAATCTGTTATGCTTTGTTGATCATTTGAAAGAGGCGATTTGTCTTATCTGAGATATAATGATGTAGATCAGCTTTATTAATCTAATTTTTCTTGCTCAGTTTTAAGCAGGTGGAGCTTCATCGTGTTGAGTCAGTCATGTGACTAATAAGACCATATTTCCTCATTTGTACACGAGGAAGTTAATATTTTAATAATTTCTTTTTCTAGTACGCTGGATCGGAGTTGGAAAAGATAGAAATTCTCTGATAGAAGTATTTTGACCAATTTACCGTGTTTTGAAGTATTGTACTTAAAAATTGTTACTCAGAATTAATATTGTGTTAATCATTATTTTCATTATCATATTTTATTGAGGATGTTTCATTTTATTAAATCGTGGGATTGATGAAAATGATTCTATTTTATCTTTATCGCACATTTCAACTTATAGTCAGGTTTTTCATTTAAATTGTCCGTTATTGACATAGGACAAATTCGATTAATTTATCATTTATAATATAATAAAAATTCATTTTTAGGACCAAATAAAAATATTGAACTTGCCACGAATAAGTAAAAATATACATGTTATCGTTTTTTTTTTTTTTGTGTTAGTTGTAAAGTTCGAATCGCTCAGTTTTATGATAAAATCCTGTGTATGTAAATTTAGATTACGGTTCAGAAAAAACAATGTAGATGTACACAATCTCTATTAAAACGAACATAATTTTAAAAGTATTTTGAAGCTTATAAAAGTTTGTAGAAGAAAAAAGGAGAAATGTCTCCTTAAACGTATGTATAAAGTTTTGGAATGTTTAGATCATTTATAGTTTTAAATCAATAAAACGAGAAATAAGTTTCGAGAAATTTGAGCCGATCTTTAATTATACTGTATTAAAAAACTTCGTCACAAACTTTTTTGTAACAAAATATTTTACATTCTGTTAATTTTAAAATGTGCCTTAAGCAAAATTTTATAATAATAATAAAAAGAAAAGTACCGAAAATGTTTCTTGCCTTTTGTAACAACAACTAAATTACATGATGGTTCTAATGTACCGTACTCCCGATATTGTGACTGTGATTGATATAAGTATTGTAACCACTCCAAAATAATTAAACAATTTGCATTTACGGATCAGTTTGTTGATTCTTTGCTTTTATATGTATGAGTATGTACTGTACACACACGCAGACACACGCACATACGCGCACACAAATTTCTTGTTATAAATATTGAATTCTTGACATAAATTCAATCCAAATTATAAAGTATAATACGTATTTTGGAAATTATATTCACTGTCACGCTTTAGATTAACTGTTCGATCGTTATCTTGTTAATCAGTAATGCCAATTCATGTTAAATTATTAAAGCCAAAATTACAGATGTGATGAATAAAATGAGAAATTCTCTTCGGCATCCAATAAATTTCTGTCTAACGTATTATTAGATACATCATCTGAAATGAGAGCAGTCTGCACAGAATCGTCTTTAAATTCGCAAAACACATTCAAATCGATTTTCCTAAAGGACTTAAAACGGTTTTTTAAAATTTTGATTGGCCCCGAAGCCAATAGAATCGCTACTACAATCAGCAATCCAGGCAAAAGAGAATAAACTGCAATCATCTCAACAGAACTGTTTGATTCGTATTGATATGACGGATGTAATTTATACTCGAACTGATAATCTATATGAGTGGATTGTAAATCGACTCTGTTTGCATGAGTTTCGTTGTAAAAGTCGTCCTCTTTTAAATAATCTATTCTTTTCCCTTTCAACTCTTTCGGGCTAGAACACACTACTTTTTCTCGGTTCTGAAAGAGGACTTTTGGCGAATTCATCCATACAGTTAACCATAAGATAGATTTACTACAATGCCATTTGTTAGAACTTAAATTTATATGTCTGAGATGACTTAAATACGAGGACATATTTTTAGGCAGTTTAATTAGATTATTATGAGAAATATCCATGAATATAATCCCGTTCAAATACTTGAATAAAATTTCAGGATTGAGTAAACTCTTGGTAAAAGTTGGATTGTGGCTTATAAAAATCGATTTCAGGCCTCTTAAAGGCAACAAAACTTCCTCTTCGTATTGAATTTCCTCCGGGTTATGTGCAATTTCCAAACGGCTCAATTTTTCTAATCCATTAAAACATCCAATTTCTAGTTTTTTGATTCGATTGTTCGATAATTCCAAAGAAAATAAAGATGTTAAATTTAAGAAAACGTTCATCTTTAACACTTCGATTTTGTTATTTTGTAAATTTAGATGACGAAGTCTGAATAATCCGCAAAAAGAACAAACAGATATATCTTTTATCTGGTTATTGTTCAAAGAAAGTATGATCAGGCTGGATCCTTTTAGAGTATTATCTTGTAAAACGGAAATTTGATTATAAGATAAGAATAAATATCTCAGAAAAAACGGCAGACCCGACGGAATATCTTTCAATTGATTATAACTGAGAATTAAATCGAGCAATGAAGGAAACAATCTTTTGAACAAATTTGATTCGATTTGTTGAATCTGATTATGACCAAAATTCAAAACTTGTATAGAGGAATAGTAAGCCGATAACTTCTCGATATCCTTCCGAGTAATTTCTGTAATATTATTATAAGAGAGGATCAACTGATAAATAGATGCAAAAGTATTCCTCGGTAAAGTAGGAATCGTATCGATTCCAATCTGAGATAAATTTAATTTGACCACGTTTTGTGGCAGACTTAAGAACGTGACATTACTCAAAGGATTACTGCTCAAGACTAATAGAGTAACAGAGGTCATACGATCGAACGAACCCGCATCGATCCTAGAAATTTGATTATAATCCAGACTGATATAACTTACTTGATCGATTCCAATGAACGTAGTATTAGTGATCTGAGAAATCTTGTTCCAAGATAAATCTAAAACTTTCAAAGTTGACAAATTTAAAAATGCTCCATCAATCGATTCCAGTTGATTATTACGTAGACTCAGATCCCACAATTTATCGAGTCCTTCGAAAATATTCTCTTTTAATTCCTTTAAATCATTTTCAGATATTCTCAATACTTCCAGATTCTTCAGAACGGAGAAAATTCCCGATTCTATTCTTTCAATTCCTACTTTTCGTAGAGTCAACCATCTGGTTTCGTTGGATTCCTTGATGTGTTGAGCAGTTAAAGTCTTGTTTGGTAGCGAGTAATCACGAAAAATAATCTCTTCTGTATCCCAAGCGAAATTATCTGGGAGATTGGTCTTCCCATTTCCTCTGCACCAAATTTGTATACGGTTACATTTACAGGTGTTGGGACAATGCTCCGTTGCGTCTACAATTGCACTTAACAAGTGATAAATATAAAATAAAAACCAAATCGCGCTCATTTTTTGGTATTAACTAAAGTAAAAATCCAGTAAGACTGCGTTGGTCTGTATCTTATAATAGCATTATTAGCAGGAAAAACTAATTTGTTCTTATTTTCCAGATGTTATTATATAATTTATAATCTAAATTTGTTTAGCGGAGAATTGCCACTGATTTGATATTTCCTCTACAGAGATGTGGGTAAGTAAATGTTTTGAAATTTAACTAGCTAACAAATTCAAGAATTTTTTAAATGTTATTTCGTATTAACTCACTCTCTTCTATACGTATCTGTTGTCGATATAACTTACTTAGCTATGCAGTAACTGAAGTGTATAGATGAATTTTAAACGATTCTTGATGATTACACGACATATGGGTAACTTACATACTTGTAAAAGATGTTAAGTTTAACTAGATCATCTGCTCTACATTTAAATTAAAAAGGAAACCGAATATTTTTGGATTTAAAATAGAAAGGAAATTGCATAATAAAATGTTAGTTTAATACAATTTAGATCTTTATTCTCGGAATATGTTTTCTGAACAAAATATAAACTGTTATGAATGTCAAAACTTAAGTTTAATACGCGAACATAGAGCTTTAATTGATACTTTTTTCCTTTTTTTTACGGGACAAATAGTCATATTAATTAAACGAATTTATCAACAATTTTTTTGTTTCTATTTTTAATTTTCATAATCAGGTGTTAAGTCAGTAAACTTTCTAATCGTACCAATGAAGCAGGTGAGATCAGTTTATTACTGAAAATTCCAAAATCGTTACATGGGCGAACTAATAAATTCAAAGAAAACTGTCACATACGAGTATAAAAAATTATATCATGAAAAATAATATACATTATATTAAAAATCATTTAAAAAACACGTTTTATTAACTTTGTAACAGACCAATGAAAGGCTTATCCAAAAGGCGTCATATTTAAGTTTGTTTATAGTGTCAAATGCTCTCTCCACGGCCCTGACATAATTTGTATTTATGAATCAATGTAATGTTTTGGTAACACAAAATGCATAGAAACAGATTTATAAATTCAGTTTAAAAAATCGCTTTTTGCATAATTGCATACTTATTACCGGTATTTCTTTTGTAATATTGTCTTTTGTTGTTATAGCTTTCGTGTTAATTTTGTCTAAAAATTAAAATAAATACAAGTAAATGCATTCGAACTCGGTTCTCTCCGTTTTATAATTATTTTAAGTTGTAATATAAGCTGGCAATTTAAAAACAAAAAAAATTGAACCACTTTTCAGTCAGATGCAGGAGTAATGATGATAAATAACTGATGAACAGCAATTATTATTCAATTGTTTATTGGTATCGCATTCTCTTTTCTCTGATTTTCTGTCCTTTAGGCCTAATAGTTTGCTGTATTTGAGAATAAGGCTAAAGCTACGTATTGAACACATTATGTTGTATGTGATCAAAAGATCTATTTCTATTGTTTATAGAAAATTTATATAAAGTAATTAGAACAGGTTATGAATAAATTAACAAAATAAAATGGTTTGAATGATGTACTCCTATCTCGAACAATTGCACTTAAAAATCAGATTTTTGCCGGGTGCTGAAGCCAAAACCGGAGCCATTGATCAGCACCCCTGCTCCAAATCCCGGTTGCGAGTAATTGGAATGAAAAAAGTAAAAAGAAAAATTGGTCCATAGATACATAAGATTGAGAAGCATTGGTCTCGAGTATGTGTAAAATGTTTTTAAAGCATTAATTTTAACTTTATATCAATTTGACAAAATAGTATTTACATAGAATTAGATACTTTTTTTTTACAACTTTTAAAATATTTTATCTAAATCAATACAAAAGCTTTTGACTATAATTCAATTTTTAAAAATTCCACCAACGAGTTGCTTAACTTTCCCAGCAACATTTAAAACTGCATATGGCCAAAAATCATAATTTTGAGGGTAGGGATGGGTTTTTATAAAAAAAACTTTTAAATGCGAATAACGAGTAAAATCGTCTAAGTCCGATCCCCTTGAGATATGACACGATTCCCCTTTATCTCTCCATCCCTCGATCTTTAAACCATCAAAATTTAAAAGCATCAAATCCTCCTAATACAGAAACCTCCCTGTAAAATTTAGAAATTTTCGACAAAATGTATAGGAGTTATTAAGCTTCAGTGAGGGTGAACAAAATCGTGTGCCCCCATACACTAACATCCATACATATAGAAAAAAAAACCCGAATTTTTTCGCATTTCTCGATGTTTCGAGATCCCCGGGAGTTCAAAAATGTAAAACTCTTGCGGGGTCATTTTTTGACTGATTGCCATACCATCTCTCTGTATATAACAGAGATAGTAAAGTAATAATTTCATCTAGAAGATACACAGGTGGTCATCGTTTAATGCGGCTAGCTATAACCAGTTTACGTAAAGAAGGAATCATAAATTCATAGAAAATCATAAGAAAAATGTTTAATTAGGTCGTAAATAAAACAAAAGCAGATGAAAAACGTGAAAGAAATCTTTATTATCCATATTTATGCATATGTAAAATATTTTTGGGCTGCAATTTGAAAAAAAAATTGTAGACCTATAAATTCCCACTGTCGTCAATTGTCTGATAAATCAAGCTCTACGTGGGAGTAATATAAAAGTACAGGGTTAAATTATACAAATTCCACATTTAAAATTAAGTAATATTATGCTTGTGTTGTTTATAATTTTGAAACAACTGCTTTTCAACAAATTTTCGTTATATTGCATCACGAAAATCAAACGAAATGTAATATATTACAAATAAGAAATATAATCTTCCTTTTTAGAAAATATTACAATTTTTAATTTTTATTTTGGTTTTCTTTACTTTTATTGCCACATTCTCCATTTGTATTAACTTCTTCCTCTTCGTCAATATTTTCATCGGAATCGAGTATAAAATCGTCGGAAAAATCTGTTATGTTAGATTCGGAATCTACGGATGCATTGTGTTTAGTACAATATTCTTCTATTGAGGATGGAATCACGACTTTATCTATTTCAGCATCTGTTGTACTGTCTAAGCTTGTTTTTAATGATTTCTTCGTATTCTTTCTCCGATCCTTATTCTTATTATTCTTTCCATTTTCGATACATGACAAGAAGCACTTACATTAGCTGATGAACTAATATTTGGTTGGTTCGAAAGTGAAATAACACTCAGTAAGATTGTTCTCACATTTTGGGTTGGATTCCATCGTTCGCAGGAGTTCTCCGCTTTGAAGATCATCCCCTGGAGGATGAAGAATCGATATGTAGATGTTTCCATTAGGATATACATTTGGACGCAAAAATTTTCTAATAAAACGAATAGTTGGAGGAGCGAAAGGATAATTGGTATTTTAAAATATCCCCTTTCATATGTAGTGTTAGATAGTCCGAAAATGGTCCCTTCCCATTCAGATTGAACACTTTTGTAGACTAACTTCACTAGAAAATCTTCGACGTGTTCTTTTTGTAATCTTTTAAATTCCAGCTTCAGTGCATTTAACGCACTCTGGGTCATTTGGGATGCCATTAATGACCTCCGTTTATTTTTATAGTATCTTGATTTGTTAAAAAAATATGGTGTTTATAATAATACAGATAATTAAATATGAGTAATAATGAAACAAACAATGAAAACATCTCTAAAATTAATTATTAATTTATTTAATATTTCGCATATATGAAGAAGTTTGATACTGTGTTTAAACTTCTTTATTTTAAATAAAAATTAACATACAATTTTCTCATAAATTACTAACATACTCCTTCTAAGTTTATGATAAGACTATAATTAAATTTCCGCGGAAAAATCACGTGATTTAAAGTTGTGTTTGTAAACATTCCATAGCCATATTACTTGCCATTTAACCTAATTCTTTTCATCTACAGTATATCTTTTGTGAATTAAATAAAACAATATTATTGTTCCTTAACCCGGTGTTAGGCATATATAATTTTGCTTATGAATATTTATTTTTTACTACATTATGTATACGTTTATTTATTATTCTCTTTAATTTTCAATTTTAAAATTATTTGAATTTACTTCTTGGAGTTTTCTATATCGATACATTTCGTAATGCAGATTATTAGTTGTATCAATTAAGTTCTGAAAGAAATATATATATATATATATTTTAATAGGTAAGCTACTTATTGCCTTTGTATATAACAGACTATTTTTGACTGAATATATTATTTTTCATTACCTCACAAACAATTTCCTCAAAACCATCACAATGTTCTAAATTTTCAACTAGAAAGACAATAACATTACACATTTTAATACACAAAATCAATAAACATTAGTCATTAATCATCATTTTATTAATCATAAAACTACTCACTTTCTGCGGTTTCCCAAACATATTTTCTTCCTCTCTTTCGCCGCATACGTTCTCTAAACGCATGCTTCCCATAATGGCGAAGGAAACTCTTTCCTTCAACGAAATCATTCGAGTCAATTTAGGGTAAACTTGCCTAATTCGTACCACTTCAGGAAAAACCATCATATTATCGAAATTAATAAACACAAATTATTTTTTATTTTAAGTAACTTTTATTTGGGAAATATTTTATCACTACCATAATCAAATTTAGCATAAATCTTATAAACTTCTGAGAAATAAACAATTTAAAAAAACACTAAAAAAGTACGATTTAGGAACATTCGTCTTAAATCGTACCGATATATTCTTAAATCGTACTTTGAGATCCTATCATTGGTTTGCAGTCTTAAGAATAAAAATCTTTATCAATAATGTACGTGTGTATCAATACGTGTGTATATTAACTCTTAGCAAATTCGGCAGCTGGTCTTTGCCAATTTTTGGCAGTCATCGCAGTTGTAATCCATTGTCTTTTTATTGGTTCCTGCGCGAAGTTCATGTACCCATATCTCACATTGTGTGCATTTGATCATACTTTCTTTTACGTCTTCTTGGCATAATTTACAGTACCAACTGTTATTTTCATCTTCCTGTTTTTTTTAATTCTCTTTTTGTGATATTTTAGTAGTTTTGCTTTTCTTCGCACCAAGATTCTTTCATACGTTTTTCTTCTTGCAATTCCAAGAATACCACGTAGTGGAGATATTATTTCAAATGTCGCTCGAACTGTCTCTGTATTAGAAATGTTTACTTTCATACCTAAAGAACATTCCTTCGCTTTCTCTTCCAGACACTGATCTTGCTGTTTTTCCGAAGGGTGAGTTGTCGGTACCTCAGGAAGTTGTGGGTACTCAACTTCTTCAGTCTGTTCTCAGTAGTCTGATTGGATTGTGCCACACACGTTAAAGTATCTGTTTGTTCTTGCTGCCTTTCAGTTGCCAGATTCTGGGAGACTTCCGCCGTTTCACTTAGATTAGCATCTTCGTCAAGAACGACATATTCCTCATCCCCGATCTTAAAGCGATTGCGAGGCCACAATCCGCAAGATTCGAAGTCATGCATGCCTGTGTCCATACAAACGGCTCGAAGATATGCTTTATTAAGGAACCAGGATGGTTTGCATCCACGATGCGCAAGCAGCACTAAAATTCAGTTTTAGTGATTTAAAAAATGACCTATCTAGTCTATTCATTGATGTATATTCAGTCCTTGTAACTATCGTCTAAATGTCAATTACGGTACATTATATACACTACAAACTTCGTTAAATTATAAGGTCTCGTCATTATATTTTTTAATCGCTTCTTTCATATTTTCTTTACTTCAAGAATTATATTTTCTTTTTGACACGTTGTTCTAAAATTAAAGACGATTAAGTTTTAATTTGTTTTGAACTTTTGCGGTTATTTTTTAAATCAGAAACTTAGAAAAAAAATAAGTTTACGAATCGGTAATAGCTTATTGTGACATTCATCTAAAATGGTTTTCCTAAATCGTACCAGTACGTTTTAAGAACATGCCTCGAGTACGAAATAGGCGCAAGAGTCGAACAAACTTTACATTAGTCGCCAAAAAATTTGACAACAGATACGCATGTTTCATCACTTCAGATGAAATCACAAAAATACGCACTAATACATCACAGATAGTTAAAAAACTTACACACGATCCAATTTGAAGAAATTTCTTACGAAATGTGCAAAAATATTACAGAAAAGGTTGAAAAAAACTTTCCTTTTCAATATTTTTGTCGGGAGCAGAGTAACAGCGTGTTGTCTGTCAGATGGTAATATGACCGATTGTTATTTACTTTTTTTGCTACTAGAGACACTAATAACTATTACCGGAGTCGAGATATAAGCGAAGTACGAATTAGGCGCAAGTACGAATTAGGCAAGTTTCCCCTAATTAATTAAATTACAAAGATTTCTAATTTACTACATATGATCTTAATTATCGACTAATGATCAAAATGCAAATAAACCCGGCCGTACAATGCTAATACAATTACAATTAAGAGATACTGATGAATAGTGTAATCATTGTACTTACCTTAAGATTATTTAGATTTTCGTTATCTCCGTGAACTTTGGATGGAAAATCATATATGTTAATGCTGTGGTGTGCAATTTGATTCATTATCTGCGGAGTATCGATATTGTGTGATATGTAATTATTATTATTTTTATTTTATTTATTTATTTTTTTGTAAAATTTATTTACGAATTGACGAAGATCGACTTTATAGTATAAGATAACTTACGATTTTCTTGAAAGCTGCATACACTTCTAGTGTAAATGAATCAGCCTTTGCAATAAGTGAAATGTTGACTTTGTCGTGCAAATTTTTCATTACTTCTATATCCAAGTGTCGTAACCTGGAAATATAAATAATAAAACACATTCAATAATAATAAAAAAAGCAATTTAAAGGTCTATACATCAACGGTCCAGGCACGTGATTTTTCGGTTTTTTTTTCACCTGTCTAACATCTAAATAGGGGCCAGTTTTGCATAGAAAGTACTATCGGAAGGCACCTCCCTTTGTCACGTCGTTTTTGTGTTGCGTTGCCTTGCCTATCAATCCAATATAATTCAATTCATTCAGTTTTATATACATTTCGTATTTTAATTAAAGACGTGGGCATATTCAATCTTTCAGATATGAAGTAACAACTTGATAACATGGTTTTATAAATGTGGCATTACAGTAGAACCTCGAAAACTCGGTTCTCGATAACCCGGCACTCCGGATAACTCGGCCACACCCTGGCAGGGCAAAAAAATCCTTAGTTAATTNTAAAATGTAAAATATTGAAAAGAATGCCTTCTGAAAATGGTTATTATCGAAAAAAAAATTAAAAGGTAAGATAATCATATAATAAAAAAATAGCTCATTAATTTGTTAAATACATATTAGACAAAAGACTTGTAAATTTAATGGCAGAAATCTAGGACAAATGCCACGTGATTGGGATTGGAAGAGCTATATATGCTGTGACGTCACATACATAGATCCAAGGTCACGCTAATAAATAATCCTTGTAATATATAGTCTTTGGGCCATACCAGTTTCTAAATGGCCAACGCCCATAGACTTAAAAATTTATAAAACAATGAAACATATACTAACGTCTACTAAAAATATAGTTAATCTAACCTAACTTAACCGAAGCGCCGCCATCTTGGACTACCTAGGAACACATTAACCCATAAAACGTTTACCTGACATCTAATCCCGTTTTTAATGGAATAATTGGTTCTTCAAACTCATTTTCCGTCAAATATAAATCAGAAGAGGAACTGTCAATCGACTCGACAGCATTTAATTCATCCATATCTATACTATATTGGCTATATAAAACTTCTAGGCGACAGGAAGTACAGGACAAACAACTTTGAATTACGAACGAATTTTAATCGTCTTTCGCTAAGTGTTGCCAATTCTACCTAAATTTTTATTTTAAAATTACTGTAATATTAAAAAATAATAATAATAAATAAATTTGACGATTTTGCGAACTTTCATTATTTTTATTTAATTTTATAACGAACAGTCAACATTTTTAACACTGTAACTTTATTAAACTCTTTCTGGCCTGAGGTTTGGTTTTCGATTAACCGCTCAGCCATTTCGGCGTTAAATGCTTGAGTCAATTAAGGCGTAAGACTACAACTTTTTGAAATTACCGTCGTGTGGGAGCTGAGAGAACTTTTTCCCCAGGATCATCGTAAGTTTCGCAAGACTCTCAATGAAAATGGCGAGTTGGTGAGGGTCGGGGCCAGACATATCCAGAACAGACTGCACATGAAAAAAATTTCTGGAGTTGTTCGCTCGGATTCGATCCCGAGTCCCCAGGGTGTCGGGCTGACGTCTTAACTGCCTCGCATTTAAATAACACACTTCAATATACCCAATAACTTGCAGTTGCGATCAATGGTTTAAACTTCTGTTGAGTTCATTAAGGTTACCAGTTATCCAGTTTTTATAGGAAATTCCCTGTCTCATTAAGACGAATTTCTGACTTAAAACTCTTCATTTTTTCCACATTTTTGTTGTTTGTTAAGTTATTTATTGTTTTGTTTTGTTTATACTGGCACAATGAAGTGACCGTTTAATCAACACTTGGCAAGTTTTCAATCTTTATTTAGTTAGAACGCCGTGCTACACATTTGCGTTTCGGGTATTCTCCCCTCTTCAGCTAACTAAACAAGTATAAAATAACATATTTAACTATAACCGAACATAAAAACTAAAATTATACAATAATATTGCTTTTTAACCAGTGAAACATACCTCACTCCAATACAGACACCCAACTAGTACATAGCAGAACTTTAGACGACCTAAAGGTTTACATGACGACTACCATAAATGCCGTCTTTTTACTTTTTTACAATGACACAATCGGTTTTCTTAATTTTTAACACGCAGACAAAGCGATTGATAAATAGTACTAATTAAAACTGTTACATAAAATCATGCCCTTCGTCTTCGTTCTTCCAAGCATATCTTGTAGGCCATCTTTTCATCTAGTCAGCCAATTTGCATATATCACGATTTACCTTGATTTAATGAGCTGACAGGGCAATTAATAGACATTTATTATCTTGAAAAAAATATAAAATCTATCTATATTACACTCACTCAGCACTTGCTTGTAAACTCAAAAAAACACAACACCTTAATTTGCTGAGAAAACTTTTAATGAAAAGCTAACGTTTTCAGCCAACTCTATTGGCCATCATCAGGCTAAGNAACATTTCTAACATTGTAACTTTATTAAACTCTTTCTGGCCTGAGGTTTGGTTTTCGATTAACCGCTCAGCCATTTCGGCGTTAAATGCTTGAGTCAATTAAGGCGTAAGACTACTTCTTTTTGAAATTACCGTCGTGTGGGAACTGAGAGAACTTCTCCCCCAGGATCATCGTAAGTTTCGCAAGACTCGCAATGAGAATGGCGAGTTGGTGAGGGTCGGGGCCAGACATATCCAGAACAGACTGCACATGAAAAAAATTTCTGGAGTTGCTCGCTCGGATTCGATCCTGAGTCTTCAGAGTGTCGGGCTGACGTCTTAAGTGCCTTGCATTTAAATAATACACTTCAATATATTCAATAACTTGCAGTTGCGATCAACGGTTCAAACTTCTGTTGAGTTCAGCGGCTGATTACTCCATTGTTAAGGGGTTAAGGTTACCAGTTATCCAGTTTTTATAGGAAATTCCGTCTCATTAAGACGAATTTCTGACTTAAAATTCTTCATTTTCTTTTCACATTTCTGTTGTTTGTTAAGTTATGGCAAAGCAACACTTGGGCGATCTGCCTTCCAGGATGTCTTTTTAAGGAAAACTGACCACAATTTAGGCGTTTCAGACGTGGAGAAAACCCGAAAAACTCCACGTGGCCAGCCCGTCCGAGCGAGACGCGAACCCACGACCGAACTCCCAGTGTTTAGGGTACGAAGACCGCTTGGTCACTGGTGGGCGGTTAGCGTCTATCTTTTCTTCTTCTTTGTGGTGAATCATGTTGATGTTTGTTTGCGGTGTTGTTGTTAGTATCTAATACATTCTGGATCTCATTTCTCTTTTTTATTACTTGGATTCGAGTAATCGGCATTGATTCGCTGTTAGTTTGGTCATTTTGTGTTGGGAGTTCGGTTTCTTGTGAATTCTTGTCGATGTTGAGTCGATCCGGGTGTTTTACGGTTTGGTCCTCGGATGCATTTCTTTTCCGTATTTCTGGTAAATATTGAAACATCTTTTCGTAATATATGGTTTTGTTGTATCGTTGCTGTGTTTTACAACCAGAGAAAGTATTACACAGGATCGTAGTACTTATTGATAAAAAAAAATTATTTTAACTTTTCAAGAGAAATATTTCAAATCCATTAAAGTTTTGACGTAACGCGTGACGTATTTATCCGAATGTTGAACGTTCGAAACAAACTAATTGTTCGAATTTTCTATTGTTGGGCGCCATCTTGAAATGGAAATTTCATCGTTCTTCCTGCTTTCTATGAGATTTTCCGAAAGAATTTTCAATATAAATGAACTTCAGTAAGTAAGTAAATTGTTATTTATGATTTATATGAAATCAAAATGGAATTATTGCCGATAAGACGTTAAATCGGAACATATTTATAGTTTAAGATATCGAATTTCATTTCAAACCTGAGACTTTCTGAAATTAATTTATCAGATAACATAAAAAATTTGATTGGGAATAGTCATACATCAGTTTAAATATTATATAAACATAGGTTCAATACGTTCTGTGCATGTTGAAGTTGTCTTTTGCTTTCTTATAATGTCGTTTTTATGTACAGTAAAACCTGGCTAAGACGAACTTCGTTAAGTCCAAGTTGTCACACAATACAAGGGTTTTCCATACTATCGCTTGTTGGTAATTTTAATTAGAACCCATTTTCCCACGCGCCCTCCACTCTTTCGTAGCTTTATAATCTTCAATTTCAACTATATTCCACGTAAATGCAAACCTCTGTATCCAGAAACCTGATTATCTCGACTGCGACTGAAAGGGAAGATATCCCGACGGGAGTCGGAGCTTTAATATCGACCCTCGCTGCGCTGAACCTCCCGATGTTCCGACGGGAGTCGGGACGCTATATCGTCTCTCGCTGCGACCGAAAGGGAAGATATCCCGACGGGAGTCGGGGCTTTAACTCTTTCCTACCTGTGGGCACCAAGAAGTCCTGTTTTTAGCAAACCCGATATGAGTTCGGCCAGACCCACAATGGGGCGAGCGGGTGGTAAGAGACGGAGGCCCGATACATCCGGTCAGACTACCCCCCGAAAAAATCCTACTGTGTAGTTTGAAGTTTTAACATCTTGCGCACACGAATATCTGTCTTCACGTTCGTGACAGTTATTTTAGATCCACAATGGAAGCTGCCGGGAGTCGAGTGGCCAGGCTCGACACAACCGATTTGAATTTATGACAATTTTCGAATCTCGACAGAATTCGAGCACGAGTCTCTCACAGAGATAGGATAACGTTATTTCCACTTTGGTCAATCGGCCGCCATTTTGAAAGTACTGTATCAGTTAATACATTCTAAGATAAGTCGTGTGATTACACTATTGCATTTACGTAGGGAAGTTTTTGAGACGATGGGGAATACTCATCAGTCGTTCCCATAGTCTTTGGTTTTTATTAGAAAACGGAACTGGATTTCTCATTACAGATGCGTTATGGACGGAACAGTTCTTTATCTGGTACTGGGTATCGCCGGCATTTTAACAAATTCATGAAATTTTATAGCAATTTTGTGATTTATTGAAGGTGTGCGAGTCCACTTTTAACACAAACAATAAAAACAAATTTCTTTGACATACCCTTAACAAATAAATTGT